ATGGTTTTTTTTTTTTTAAGTAATTTGAAAAAAAAGTACATTTATTTTTAAAAAGTAATATTGAACATATTATTATTATTAGTAATATACAGTTTATAATGGATGGCCCCATGTGTGATTTATATTAGTACTAATAAATAATAAACAATACCGACAGACAACGGTATAGTTTGCGCCTTACATCTAAAACACGAATAATTATACTTAGGTATATACTTATCAATTTAAAATTTGTAAATCTATTCAGTTATACAGAAAATTGTAACAAAAATATTAAGTAGTGGTCAATATAAAGATAATTTGAACAGTGAATTTATATTTATTTTAAACATTAGTACTTATTACATTTTTTGGTTTTCCTTTTTAAAATTTTCTTTTTGAGCACAATAGTCCGCCAGTTTTATTAAAACCACTATTCGATTTTTAATTACTTGAAAAATGGATTAATAAAATATAATACCAAACACTGAATAGGCTAGACGAATACTTTCCTATTATTAAAGCCGAATAAATACTAGTACAGTGCAAATTCTGTGCATTGCAAACGAAGAACAAGACTAAGAAGAGCAAATTAAAAAACAGCGCAGACAAATACTAGCACAATAAAAAAAATTATCCGTTAAATCAATTATTATCAATACTATTGATAGCTAGGTATCGTTATAATTGGTATCGGTTTTATAAGCAAGATTTTTTTCCTAAGCACAAACACAAGGACACATTCTCTATCAAAAAAAATAATTAGTTACTATTTAGTTTGTACCAAATTCCTCGCAGTTAAAAAACAGAATTAAAAGATCAAACATAAAAATATAATATTATGTTGTAAAAAGAGATTGTCCTGCGATTATTGGTCTTGATTTTATACCAAGTTAAAAATAGTTTAACAATAAGCTAAACAATATTAAAGTATCAAATTATATTAGTCTAAGTTATATTGATTTGATCAAGTCCTATTTAATGAGGTTTAATGAAGATTTATTGATGAAATGTCAAACAATATAAATATTTAACTACAGCAACACAACTTCATTTTATGTACACGAAATGCGAATTCTTCAATTATTGTAAGTTATTAAAAATTTCCTTACTTGAGTTTGTTTCTAGACCATTCTTTTTGAGGATTTTTCCGGGTTATTGCGCAATTTAGATTGTATGATTCAAGTACATGATCAGCAATTTTCCAGCCAACAAATGGCTCTATAGTGTCAATTTCCAATAGGTTAAATTTTCTGTTAGCCATTTCCAATACATCCACTTCGTAGTTAGCCATATTCAGTATGTCTTTTTCAATTCCTGTCGATAATATGTCTTTGAGATTGTTGTTGCACGTTTCGTTCATTCACACTACAAACAATGCAAAACACTACAACAAAAACTAAAACAAATAAAATATTATATTATCTTATATTTTAATTTAGTGGCAATTTTTCAATTAGTACGTACATAGAATGTGAGATAATCTTGAGTAATTTAAAAAAGCTAAAAAATCACTTTTTGTAAAAATTATGATTCTAAAACCAATTCCAAATTTATTATTTAACATTAATATTAGTTGTGATAAATTATATTATCAAAATGAACTAAGAAAGATAGCGTTGCCACAGAACACAGTATTATTATTCTTTTAATTTTTGATGTTGTTTGATGCTTAATATTATTGTTTTGGGTTAATTGATAACACGGGCCACGCTATCACAGAACAATGTGGTTACTCTGGTTAACCCGTGGTACCACCGTGGACCTTTGGTCATAGATAATAAAGAAGTGTCTTGTTTACCAATAATTTATCGACCAAATATCATTTAAAAATGAATATTTACATACATGATAAAGAAATTGTTATTACTTATTACACAATGAATTAAATTATTAGAATAAAAAACTTGTGTCATATTGTATTTGTTTTGGGGATTAAAAGCGGGCCGTTTTTAAGGGGTATTGTATAGACACTATTTTTAAAGAAGCCGTTTTAATTAATTTCAACCGTGTCAATTTATTTTCATGTTAATTTGTACAAGGTTCAATTAGGTATAATTTTGAACTTGAATAAGTTTTTCTACAAGTAATTGTCAGTTTGTTTCTACAAAAAAACAATTTAGATCTAAAAGCCTGACAAAATTAAGCCTTCTTAGTAGTGATCAGATTTTTATTCTGAAAAAAAATTAATAGAGTTGATCGTCATTTTTTCAGGGTTATAGTGGAAGTCGGTTTTTGAATAACTGCTTCATTTACTTAAAAATGCCAATGATGTGAATATTAAAAAATTCAAAAATGATTTAAACACAATTTTAATTGAAATATGAAAATATCGATTTCAAAATAACCCAGAAATGAGGTCCAAAAACTCAAATAGTTACTTTTACAAAAATTCAATTGGACCATCTTGTCAGGAATTTTGTCGGGCTTTTTAGGTTTAAATCGTCAAAAAAATCGACCGATTTCAATCATCTTATTGAGGTATAGTATAACTGTTTCCTAATAGTGTGATAAATTTTAAACAATTAATGTTATTACAACTTATAAAAAAACAGTACAGTGGGGTCGGGGCAAAGAGGGGACGGGAGGTCACAAGTTTACAGGAATTTTTAAATCTGAAAGTGATAAAATCACTTTCGAATAAACGCTTCGATGCAAGTAAGTAGTTAGTATTTTCAAACCAATACAGTGCAAACCAAGCACAGTGTAAACCAGCAAATTGAGAAAGTATTAAATTGAGGTGCTGTATTTACAAATATGCATCAAAGCGTTTATTTGAAAGTGATTTTATTCAATTTCATCACTTTTATCTAAATATAACAAATGAACAAATAAATGAAAATTCAAACGCTGAAATGTTTTTTTTATTTTTTGTCTACAAATGTATGTAATTAAAAACATAATATGTTGCCATTAAAAAAAAACTAAAATCCCCCTTTTTGGCCTTTAAGGATTGGTGATAAAAATTTTCAAAATATTGAAAAATATAGTACAATGTGTACCAAAAAATCTTGGAAAAAAATATTGTTCAAATTATTAATATATTCCGAGAAAATTAGTGTGTTATCCTTAATGAATTACCCTGTATTTATATTTAACTTTTTCTTATAAATATAAATATATTTATGAGTGTAACTAAAAATGGGCTAGAGCTAACGTGGGCCTAAAAACCAAATACATACACAGTTAATAGATAGCTAAATGTTTGTATAGAAGAAATTATGATTTAGTAGAAATATTTTTAAAACCTTTTATTTTATTAGTTTTGTTATAATTAATTTGTAATATATAATTATACTCGAAGCCAATTCAACAGCCGATTTGAGACTTACTTGATACCTATCAAGTGTCGCCACTATTGGCGCAATTCGAAGAGGAGGGGTTAGAGAAGTTTTTGAATCCTTTTAAACTCTTTCAGGCTTTCAAAAAAAATGACAACAACCCTTAAAGCATAGCCTCCAAGTGACGATTGTTAATTTTTACCAAAATTCTCAGGAACCTTTGAAAATGTTTAAATAATCTGAACCTAGCTGATCCCTCTAACTGCGCCGATGTCATCACAACATTATGGTTGTCATATCGGAAATTACTTAGTTAGACACGCAGTAGTTACTTACACAGTTGTGTTCGTACAAATTCAACTAACACTTATCGCACATACAACCAAAGCCAACCAGACGATTGTGTTTAATTATTTAAATACAAATATAATACAATAAAATAAATAATGTTGTTATGAGCTGGTTATAGATATTTTTTTGTTAAATATTTAATAAATAATATGTATTTTTTAATAGATTAGAGGGAAAAGTTGTATGATTTTTTTTGGTGTATTTGCATTTAACTGAAACAAAAATTCATTTTTTTTTAATGAGTTTTTTGGTGTACCTATGGCTTTTTCTTTCACAGAATGACCGCCATTATACCACCATTTATATGTTTTACCAATGTACATAAAAGTGTGTCGAAAACTATTAGCTTGTGCAGTTTTATTTAATAATAAAATATAGACTAAAGGATCACCGGATAGCTTCTCTACTCGTTGCCTCCAAGTCATTATTTACATTGTTAACCTATATTTGCTTATTGCATATTTTTCTTCGTGTACAGATTGTGAATGTTATTTTCAAATAAAAATCAATTCAAGTTAAACGCTTACAACGTTTGAACTAGGTTTTCACATCATAAAAAAACATTTAGGTTTAAATCTCCCCCCCATCAATTGAATCATTCAATCAAAAATCCGTTTACTACTGTAACCTAGTAAAGTTACCAAAGAACTCATTCTTTTCTGACCATTATCCCTTAATTTAGTCTATTAGACTACAATTAATGTAAGATAAATTATTATTTAATTTTAGTAGTACATAATATTTAGATGGATTAATGTTTGAAAAACAAATCTATATTAATATATTCATTTACATTCCCAGAATTTGTAACAGAATACAAATTATAAATACTTTTTTGTACTTAATTTATTTTTGGCTCATATGTTGGTTCTCATTCTAATGTTTAGACGCGGCTTTAACAATAACAGAGACATCTTTATTTGTTTTTCTTTATTTAAGAGATAAAGAGAGAATTCTATTGATGACCTAACTAACCTAACCGAATCTATTAAATTTAGACAATAAACATGGAATTCATGTTAGCTGTAGACTGTATATCTAATTTCAATATCAGTTATACTTTAGTTAATTAAATTAGGTATTCAACATATTATAGCTCATAACTAATAAATGATTAATTTAATATCTATACGCTTAATCAATTATTTTTGTTAACTAATTAGAAGAGAATGAACTATATTATTCATAAGTACATGTATGTTAGTTTATAGGTGTTATGCTTCTGACCATCATAAAACTTACAGTAGATTATGTGTGTGTGTACGTTTGCTTAAATAATATCAGTAGTTTAATTTCAATTTTGTCGTGTAGGTATCTAAAATATAAACTTAATGCTAGTACCACAAGACATTCTATCATAATAATAATTTTTTAAAAACTCCATGTTCATTTATAATTTTTAAAAAAAATGAGTATTTATTTATTAATGCATTAACAAATCAAACACTAATATTACAATATCTATTAATTTTACACTTATATTTATATTTACAAAAAACAATTTTTTTACAATAGGAACATGCGTGTAAATTGTACAATAAATTTAATAATTTTACTATGCTACCATTTCTTTACAATTATGTAGAAGCAAAATATTTATATGCATACAACATTTTAATCGACTTCTTCAACAGTTGGCCCTCGAGACTGAGATCCTGGGAAACCGCCTGCTCCTGGCATCTGAGCTCCGCCTGCTTGTCCGCCGTGCATCTTCATCATCAACGCGGAACACTTTCCTTGCAGTTCCTTCAGTTTGTACTCGTACTCATCTTTATCAGCCAGCTGATTGTTGTCCAGCCACTGTATCACGGTATCGCATTCTTGTTTGGCTGCGTTCTTTTCGGACTCGCCGAGCTTGTCTCCAGCGTCGTCCAAAGCTTGTTTCACGCCGAACACATAGCTTTCCAATTGGTTCTTAGCGGCTATGTTCACCCTTTGTCTTTGGTCTTCTTCTTTGTACCGCTCGGCCTCGTTGAGCATACGATCGATTTCCGCTTGAGACAACCGGCCTTTGTCGTTTTTGATGACAATATTTTTCGAACGACCAGAGCTGTTGTCCTTGGCCGAAACATTTAGAATGCCATTAGCGTCCAAATCGAATGTCACGTCGATTTTGGGCACTCCCCTGGGCGCTGGAGGTATTCCGGTCAGATCAAATGTTCCCAACAGGTTGTTGTCCTTGGTCATTGCTCTTTCTCCTTCGAATACTCGTATAGTGACTGCCGGTTGATTGTCCGCGTACGTGGTGAACGTCTGTGTTTGTTTGCACGGAATTGTACAGTTCCTCTCGACAATTTTGGTCATAACGCCACCGGCCGTTTCGATTCCCAACGACAGCGGAGTGACGTCGACCAGCAAAACGTCTTGGATCGCCGAACTCGTGTCTCCGCTAAGAATCGCAGCTTGAACAGCAGCACCGTATGCTACTGCCTCGTCGGGATTGATAGAAAGGTTAAGGGACTTGCCGCAGAAATAGTTTTGCAACAGGTTTTGGATCTTGGGTATTCTGGTCGATCCGCCGACCAACACCACGTCGTGTATAGCTCCCTTGTCCAGTTTGGCGTCGGCCAACGCCTTCTCCACGGGCTGAAGAGTGGACCGAAACAGATCCGCGCACAGTTCTTCGAAACGAGCGCGAGACACTCTTGTATAGAAATCAATGCCTTCCATTAGGGCGTCGATTTCAATTGTTGCTTCCGAGCTCGACGATAACGTTCGCTTGGCTCTTTCGGCGGCCGTTCGCAGGCGTCTCAGTGCCCTGGGGTTGCTCTTGACGTCCCTGTTGAACTTCCTCTTGAACTCTTCGGCCAAGTGCGAGACCAGCCTGTTGTCGAAATCTTCGCCTCCCAGATGCGTGTCTCCGGCGGTGGATTTCACTTCGAATATCGACCCCTCGTCGATTTGCAACACAGACACGTCAAACGTACCGCCGCCTAAATCGAATATCAGTACGTTTCTTTCGCCCGCGAGATGTTTGTCCAAACCGTAAGCCAAAGCAGCGGCCGTGGGCTCGTTTATTATTCTCATGACATTCAAGCCGGCTATGGCGCCAGCGTCCTTGGTGGCTTGTCTCTGCGAGTCATTGAAGTATGCGGGCACTGTGATCACTGCGTCGGTGACGTTTTTACCCAGATAGGCTTCGGCGGTCTCTTTCATTTTGGTCAACACCATCGAGCTGATCTCTTCCGGGGCAAATACTTTGCGCTCGCCTTTGAACTCCACTTGGATTTTCGGCTTTCCACAATCGTCGACCACCCTGAAGGGCCAGTGCTTCATGTCCGCCTGTATTTTCTCGTCGTCGAATCGCCGGCCTATCAGCCGTTTGGCGTCGAACACCGTGTTGCCGGGGTTCATGGCCACTTGGTTTTTCGCTCCGTCCCCGATCAGCCGTTCGGTGTCCGTGAACGCCACATAACTGGGGGTGGTCCGGTTGCCTTGGTCGTTGGCGATGATCTCCACTTTGCCGTTTTGCCACACTCCCACGCACGAGTACGTCGTTCCCAGGTCGATGCCGATTGCCGTTTTCGCGACCATGTTTTCGCGTTTTGTACTACCGCTGACGGAAAAGTCGTTTTCAATTTAATTGAAAAAAAAATAAACTTGAAACGTTTAAGAAAATCACACACGCAGAAAAATATTATGCAACGCGTTTGTTCGCACGGTATGTGTATCGCTCGGTAGTCGCTTTGAATTCAAACTGTCGCTGGCCGGCCCGCCGATTTCGTTTATATAGCCAATACAATGCTCTAGAACGTTCGGCTACGTTCGAGCGCTGCGTCGACGCCGTCTCCCCTACACCGCCAGTCCACCGAGCCTGCACGAGTAGGGCAATAGAAAATTCTCGAACGTTCCACGGTTGTTTGGCGAACATTATTATACCAACGTTCTAAAATATCTAAAATTGTTTTTTTTTTTTCTATGTACTTGGCTATTTTGTTTATGAACATTTTTACATTTAAATAGTGTAGTACGGAAAAAGGCGAAACAAAAACTAAAACGTGGAAAAAGTATAATCAAATTATTACTAATTTAAAAATTAATAATTAAAAAATAAATTCGTTTTTTTAATAAACTTTATGTAATACGAAAAAAATTAAAATACACGATTACATCTTTATAGTACGGTTTAATATTACTAAACGCTAGAATTCAATTTCGAACGCTAAGAATATAATTTAAAAAAAATTGTGTTAATTTGATTTCCTTCCGTCAATCATAAAATATTTCAATATTAAAAAAAAAATTATAATTTTAAAATTAATTTATTACATTTATAATAGTAATTGATGAGATAAGTTAATATACATATAAAGGTACAAAATATGAATAAAAAAAACCAGTATATTTTTTCTCTGTGGGTGCCAACCACTAAAATATATTTTTCTAAGCAAAACAAACAATGTAAAAAAGTGGGTTGATTTCTAATTTTAACTTGCTGGCCAATTAAATAGATTTGAAAAAATACCAAAAATGTTTAATACCTATTATATTATATAAAACCTATTAAATACATTTTTAAGTAATTATTTCAGAAGTCCCTACTAAAAATACCAATTTGCCTACTAATTTGAAGACATTTGATTACATATAATATGTACAATACGGTAAAAAGTACTTAAGTAAATGTACCTACTGAAATATTTTTTAAAGTTTTTTTTTTAAGTTATGATATTTCTATCCGTGAGGTTGATCCTCACAGCAAAATAAATAAAATATTGAAACTATATGTAATTTACAATACCATTTTTTTTATACGAGACCATTTTATTTTTTACCTTTTTTTAATGGTGGAACAACAAAGTGGATTTATCTGAAATTTACTTGTTTTCCTTCAAGCAATTATTTTTACTATTTTTAATTAAAAAAAAATAAGGTATTTTATTGGTAAGTATTAAATAATAATAAAATCAACAAATTTTAAACAAAAATGCACATCAAAACATTTAAATTTTTTTTCAGTACGCTTTACAGGTACCTACACACTAATTAATTATATAATTTAAAAATAATATTAGAATTAAGACACATTAGATAGTGTACTGCCCTTTAACTTAATTTTGACTTCCTTTGCTGCATTAACCTTTTTAAAACTCTGCGTAACTAAAAAGTTTATCCTAGCGGATAAGATGTATAAAAGGCTCCATATCTTTTTTCAAAATAGTCAAAATGGTTCCAAATTTGAATAGAATATTCTTAAGACATAGTACAACCTACAAACGTGGACAACCTATAAACAATTATCGTACACCCTTTCTCCTAGAAGGTGTAGATTTTTTTTCTTTCGCTTGCAAAGTTTTAGAGGTTTGTGTATGAAAATTAGACCAAAGGTAGATCTAGAATGGGACTATAACATAACATACAATTTCCTCGAAAATCTGTAGTCAAAACATTTTTTTTTATTAAGAAAAAACCAAAAAACATGGAAAAATTACACTTTTGCCCGTACGCACAGACCACAGTCCTAACTCTATGTGTTACATATCATTGCTTGATGAGTAATCTATATGTTTACTTAATTATGTAGCCCATAACCAATTATTTGGCAGCACATAAAGTACGTATTGCCCAGACAATAACTATGTATTTCATAGCTACATGTGTAATAGTTAATGGGATTCTTACCGTTTTTATCAATGTTGCTATGTTCATATCAGTCGAAAATGTTGAGATAACAAGTGATAGTAATTTTTTGATTGAACTTAAATTTATAATATTATATTTAAAGTATTATAACTTTATTATTACTTTCCTTTTTATATTTACATTTGTAATTATTTTTATTTATTTAAAATAACGATGAGTAGTGAGAAAAAGTAAAACGAGCCCGTGTTTCTAATATTTCCGAAGAGGAAAAAGCAATAATATTGCACTGCATATCAAAAGAAAAGCATTTAATGAGTGTAAAAAACAGATAAATATCTAATAATATCTAGCAATATATAGCAATAAAGAAAAACATTTCTCTTGGGAAATGATTACAGCGAGTTTTACACACACCTTGGCGTTAACAAAGTAAGTGCAATAAAAATAAATAAATTCTAGGTACAGTGCTCGATAAAATTATGTCTGAAGAAATAAATTCAGATGAAAAAAATGATCTATAACTGAGTACATTGGCTAATTGAATATTTTTTATTAAGATAGGTAAAAGAAAGTTGGTTAAAATTATTTATTTATTATTAAAAGTACGGGCAGATAGGTAAACGATTACAATTTTATTCACAAATTACATAGTAGAGTATGTAGTTATGATAACTAAGTAGCCAAATATTACAAATTTCAGCTTTGGTTTCATAACAGTAGGATTGAACTTTTTTCAAACTTTGTGCTGTCAAATTTATTGTTTGTTTTAACTTAAGAAATGCATCATCCTTACGAATACCACAATTTTTAACAGTTTAAATGTGGAAAACATGCTTTAATCAAACAAATATTTTATTTAACTACCCATACCATGAACTTTTTAAATAATTGTTTTACTTTTAACACTGTCACTCAATGTGATTAAAATATCTATCAATTTTTAGTATGAATGAAACAATGATAAAGCTCTCTTAGATAAGAAAATTTCCACAAGCCGTTAACGATAGGTATTCAGTTTAAAGAAGAAACACTTGATTGTGGTAAATAATTAAAATTGATTGTATTATTAGTTGTTAATTTATGTTATTTATAAACATCATTAGCTGAAACTACTTATTAGGCCTTAAAGACCCAACACTGACATTATGAGATGGTTTCATTACATATTCGCTTTTAGATACTAGTTTTACAAAAATAAAAGATAAATAGCTGCTGTCAATTTATTGATTTCTTTAGTCATCATCATCACATCATCACCACGACTACTATAATGTTTTAAATAATTTATAATTTAAACTAGACTAGGTATACACTTCTTAAATACTTTTTTCCACTTTCACTTTATGCGATTATAGTATGTATTGATTTTTAGTATGAATGAAATGTGGAATGAGCTGGAAATTAAAATTGAAATTGAAAACTCAGAAAGATTGTTACTACAAGAATCACATAGAAGTTGATCCCCAAAATAGAACCGTGGGAAATACAAACAGGTAATATGATTTTTTTTGTAAGATATTCAGAAGCATTTTGTTATTTAAGTACTAAATTTAAAAATATTGGTTGAGTTAATGGACTCCACATAGAAAAACTCTTGTCATTAATTACTTACGTACGCTAAATTTATTTACCTAAATTCAAATTTAGTTTGTTTGAAATTTATTTTGTACTGATTGATAAAAAAAAAAACAACAGGCGTGCTAAACTGAAAAAAAAAAGATTTAATTTATGTGCAGTGTACACGTATCGACGCTTTTAAGGCAGAAGGTCGTAAACAACATTTATTTTTATTTTTAAGAAGTTGGCTAAATGGATAAAGAGTCGTGGTATTTATGCCAATATATTAAAAACTCATTTTCGACAAAAATGTCGTTTACGACACTACCTTATAAGCGTCGATGTCTTTTGTTTGTAAGTGCTTCATATTTTTCTATCAGTTTAAATGATTAATGCATTCTATGATTTTTAGGAATAATGAAACGTCAAAGGAGCTGAAAATTAAAATCGAAAAAAAAAATGAAACTGATGATTACGATGAGCTCACTATAAAACTTAAAGAAGAGAACCAGTTTAAATTATTTCAGAACTAGGTAACTATGTATATTTGGTTACCGAACTGTATTTGAGTTATATGTTAAGAAAACCAAAACAAATATTGCCAATGATGACCATCTTTCCTATGTCAAGTAGTCTTTAGTTTTATTTTATAAGCATTTATTATTGTTTTTAGCACTTGTGGCGGTGCTGTAAATAAATAAAATTAGACTGAAGGTCTACAGTCTAGAGGATGGGGGGGGGGGGGTGGCTATAACATATATACAATTTTCTTAAAAATCTGAAGCTATACATTTTTTTTATCAACGAAAAAAAAAGGAAAAATTTACTTAGGCCGTAGTAAATATCTATATTGATATGTGTGTACGAATCGACAGTCAACAAGTATCTAAAAATTGTTTTCATTATAAATCTCAAGAAATGGAACATTGAAACTGAACGATTCAAATTGAGTGGGTATGTTATCAATACGGAAATGGAAATCGTAGATCATGAACAGGTTGATTCTATACTAATGAATGACATAGATCCATCTAGCTTGTCCGACTGCAACATATGCCAAAAGAAGTTCGCTACCAAAAGTAACATCATCCGTTAGTTTGCCAAATCCCATAAGTCTTGTTTAAAGCAAAAACAACCGCCTCAAAAAACAACAGTCAAACATCGGGACATCAGTAAAAAAGTTTATACAAAAAACAACGACAACCACTTTGAGAGTGATTTCTGGACGAAAACGTTTTGATTTGGATCCCAGCTGAAAAGACATGAGAGTATACATACTAGTGAGAAACCATTCAAATGCAATGTCTGCGAAAAATCTTTTTCACAAATCCAAACCCACTAGAGACATGAGTTCGTTCATACCGATGAGAAGCTATTCAAATGTAATGAATGCGATAAACGTTTCACTCAGAGAGATAACTTGAAGGTACACCAATGCGTTCATACCGGGGAAAGACCATTCAAATGTGATGTCTGCCTGTAAACTAAAACTCAACAGACACCAGTGCGTTTTTTTTTTTTGTAAAAAATCCATACAAATGTAGCGCATGCAATATTTTGCTAGAAAGAAAATCGTATAGGGATTATGGCGGTTCTTTATAACATTTTTTTAAAATTTTATTTAAAGTAAATATATTTTCTATAGTCGTTCATTGTGTAGTAATAATAATTACCAATTATTGTAGTACAATGATTGGTTTTATCTGATTTCAATAAAAAAAATGAAAATCACAACCCAATAAGTGATACAACTAACAATGTGTTTGATTAATATGTTTTTGTGTAAAAAAGTGCCCTGGGACAAATTTCATTAACATCAGATCCTTATCAGAATACATATATTGCTCCTGAAAATTTTACAATAGATTTGTTTTGCTTCATTAGTTTCTCGATAAACAACTGGATTAACGCTAACGTTAGTTGTGTAATTTTTTTGGGTTGTGACTTGTGATTCACGATTGTATAGAAATCAGAAAAAACTTTATTTTTTTTATGTTTTGTTGTATACTTATTAGTTGTTTAAACAGTTATCTGTTTTTATACATCAATGCGCCCAATACAAAATATATTATCAAAAAACATAACAAACGTCAGCCATGTTGTATTATTTTATCTCTATAAAGTTAAAAAAATAAAAAATCAACAATATCGATTATTTGGGGGCCAATTATTTTTTAATTAAACTATTATAATTGTAAGTTTTTCCAAATTCAGTCCCGTAGTTGTATTTAAAATATACTATTATATTTTAAGATTCACAAAAACCTTGTTAATTAATAATAATGCTTCGATAAGACGGATCATAGATAGTGTGATTTACAAAAAAAAAAAAGGAAAAAAAACATTACATTTTGTAGTTGTAAAAATATTTAAAAAATAATAAGGAATGAAAGCTTGTATTAAATGTTTAATTTAAGCACGAATAAACCAAGTCAAAAAACCAATATTCAGCGAAATGATTAACCATCATTACTAAATAAAATAAAATCTATTGGACGGAATTCAATTTTTATGTGAAGCTTACTATTTTCTCTATGAGGGCTAAAGGGCCGATTTTTGATTTAGCTATCAGAAAATTAGACATTTTAATAGAAAATACCATAAAAATTTAAACGCTTATAGCAAAAAGGTTGAAAACAATTAAAAAATCGGTCTTTTAGTCCCCGTAGAGAAGATGTTATACTTTATAACAAAAAAACAACATTTGAAATCGGTTCGGTAGACACTTTAGAAAGTGAGCTCTCGTTTTGGTTTTTAATTACATGACGTTTGATAATAATTTAATAATGTTCTAATTAAAAAAAAAAACGCTCTACTTGTTTAAATACATATTTTAATTTCTTATCTTAACCGCCAGATTAAAATTGATTATTCCATGTCTTTTAAATTTTTTATCCATGGGATTCTCAGCGTTTCTCTTTCTATTAATTGTGATCCCTGCGACAGTATAAGTAGGCCAGTATACTTCAAGGTTGTCACCTTGAATATACCTGTGGTATAGGCACTAAGCAAGGAATGTGGTGACAGTGGAATGTGGTTGTGAGAGTCGCCGTCAATATGTCCCTTGTTATTGTCCCACCATGGCTTACATGTTTTTATAAAGAACATAAGGCTACCTGTGTCATTGTGATTTTCTACCTCTTGGCTGTTGCTTGGTGTCTAAATTCGTAAAATCAAATCCTTGTCGAGAAAGTGTACTCAAATAAGCATTCATTGTAAATTGTAATTGTGTAATATTTTTATGTAAGTATCATTGGTTTTATAGTTTTATTTATTAAATTAATCAATGTATAATCATATATATATTATGGTATACCATGTACTTTCTTATCAAGTTTAATCTGTTTCCCTTATAATAAGAAGAATTTTAAATTTATTATTCAGAGCAAAAGGGAAACAAATTTGGTGGAGTTAATTCGTGATTAAGTTCTCGTTTTTTCTTTGCATTAGTAAGACTAGTATTTTATTTAAAAAGTATGGTGTATTTTATACTGGCCATAACTAATACAATTTTCTAATATTTTAATCATTGTCCCATTTTACATTGTTTTATTACTAAAACTACTGCCTTCACTCATGTTTCAATTCAATATGCTTAAACTCAGGCTATAATCTTTTTTATGGATTAATTATAAGTTCTTAACCTTATTTTTGAAAATATTCTATGTGTTCTAGAATTAAAGAAGGGAGAAACTAGCTAAGAATTAAAATGGATGATTTTAACCGCGGTATCGTGATCAAAATAGAGAAAGAAGATGAGGATACGACAGAACCATTTACGGCAGAGAATATTGACGGAGATGAATATAGGTAATATATTTTATTACATAACATTCTAATGTTGTGCACCAATGCACCATACTAATGGAGTTAACACCAATAGTATGGCTTTTATTTTTTGAACTAAAAAGTCTGGTCCTAAGCAGACCCAGACCCAACTGAGAAAGCCTAGACCGTTACCAATTTTTATACTTAGTTCGGTTCAACATTTCAATGGTCAAATAAAATAATACTAATAAAAATGTTCAGTGTTAATAAAAATTAAAATACTTAGGCAGTAAAAAAATCACTTGTTAAAAAAGAAAATAATAATCATAAAAACATATTTTTATTAAACCATTTTGTTATGAATTATCATTATTTTATTCTAACCAAATTGGTATCAATTTTTCGTCTTAACGGTGTCAAATTTAGATTTTGATATATTTTATTATTTTTTTGAGTGGCCAAAAAAAAAAAAAGTAAATATATTGGTTTGGTCTAATCCAGGGTTCTTAAAAAATTGTTTAATTAAGGCCGGGTTTTAATAATGTTATTCGGGTGGATTTAAGTTACAAAATACGAGTAATATTTTAATGGTCTGACCAGTCTAAATAAATAGTATTATAATTCTATATGATCATTTTCATTTTTAGTACTTGAAAGACATCTCCGGTGTAAGGCTTAAACTTGAATTATATTTTTTTCGTAAAATGAACATTGTAAGTTGACAAACTAATTTTTTTTAATGTATCTTGTGTTTTAGACTTAATGAAATAGGAGACGAGACAAGAATTCAAAATAAAGAATGTGAGACTGATGATAATCACTACAAGTCCACTTTTGATGTAGTAGAAAATAGTGAACAACAAAAAACGAACGATGGGATTGCATACAAGTAATATATATTTTAAAATAAAATATTTATTATAGATGTTGTTAAAAAAAACAATATTTGGCTACCCCTAAACGTTCTATAATTTTCATTTACAAATCAAAAACAAAACACGATAACATCATTTTAATTTTTAATAATATTTCATGTGTACTTTTGTCTATGTACAATTTAATTACTGTGATTAATAAATCAGTAATTTAAAAAAAAATGTATTTGCTGACCCCGTGCACGTCGAATTTTCAAATATTGGTCTATCTAAAACTGTTTTCCATATTGCTTATCGAATATAATATTCTGTGCGCCAACCATTCTGTGTTGAATACGGTCAATCCTTTTATATGGGCTTTGATTCATGTATCATAGAACCTAATTTTTAGATAAATAATATAATAGATAATATTAATAAGACGCCTTATAAACAAAAAAATATTTGTATTCTTGGAGTTTTTTTTCATACTAGTTATTTTATGAATATCAATTTTTCAAACTTTATATATCCACCGGTGATAGTTAATACATAAATCTATTTTTTTTTTAATATTGATTGCTCGTAGGCAGCGTAGCTGATATTTTCGCTTTCCTTTTTATGTATATTTTTTATTCTTAGTGCCGGAGAAATGTGCAACGAAACAATGGTCAAAGTCGAAGTGGACTTAGTGAATGGACTTTATTTCGAGTCTGTGATTGAAGCTGAAAGAAATAGTCTCATGGATGAGATACAGTCATTTGTATGCGCTGTATGCAAAAAGTTATTTTCTTCAAAAAAGAAAGTTGCCCGACACATTACACATTCACATAGTGCACAACTATTAACCCAGAAAAGCACTGGAAAAGAAGTCGTTGATAGTACTTTTATGTAAGTACTATTTTATATATTGAATTATTCATAGTTTTATTGTTAAAATTAAAGAGCAATATCAGTTAATTATTTATTAACACACGGACTAGTATATTCTACCGCTGAAAAGCATAAGGCTAACGCCGTAGTTCTTAATACGTGAGGATTACAACACCATGTGTAGTCACTGAGCTTCCGCAATATGCCATTTCTTGTCATTATTTTATGCTTGGTGTTTTCACAGTGAAATCTGTAGGTGAGAGATCGGTCTAGTGTTACTCCAAGATATTTTGGACGTTGTGTGTTAGTTATTTTCATCCCATTCTAGTAGACGTTAAGAGTACGGTTGGCACATCAATTCCTTAGGTGGAAAACACAGACTAACCTAACCTAACCTAACCCTGGGGGGGGGAAGAATTAGCCGGTGTTTGGGGACACTGTTTCTAGAGGACACCGCGTAGAGGTTACTTCCTTGTCTCCCACAACACTCAATCAACTGGATGACTAAAATTTATGAAGCTGGACTTTTTGTACATTAAAATCGTTTACTTAGGCCAATATCGAATATATATTAAGAATTATACAATTGTGAGAAAAATATATTTTTTTAATACAATATTGTTAATTGTTCGTCAAACTTTTGTTGTAGTGGTGATAGCGGTACGAGAAATGAAGCCAATAAACAAACAGCATCGAAGTATAGCAATGAAAATATAACAAAAAGGCCGTTATTCCAATGTAATTTATGTCAATTGTCGTATAACACCAAGAAGCAAATAACTTTACATATCACAAAATCCCACAAAAGTTTGACGAATAAACACTCATGTGAGGAGTGCTTACAATCATTTTCTCGAAAATCCAAACTGATAATTCACAAACGCGTGCACACAAGTGGAAAGAAGCCCTACAATTGTGATGTTTGCTCAAAATCGTTTTCTCAAAAAGGCCACCTCAAACTACACAAACCCAAGCACGCGGACAAAAATCCGTACAAATGTAATGTGTGCCTTAAATCATTTTCTGCAAAAAACGCTCTCATAATACACGAACGTGTGCACACAGGAGAAAAGCCCTATAAATGTGATGTATGTTTAAAAACATTTTCACAAACACATCACCTCAAGCGACATAAACGCATGCACACCGGTGAAAAGCCCTATAAATGTGATGTGTGTTTAAAGTCATTTTCTGATAAATCCCACCTTACAACACACGTACGCATTCACACGGGCGAAAAACCTTATAAATGTGATGTGTGTTTAAAGTCATTTTCTGTAAAATCCTCTCTTACACTACACAAACGAGTACACACTGGCGAAAAACCTTATAAATGTGATGTGTGTTTGAAGTCTTTTCCTGATAAATCCCACCTTACAACACACGTACGCATGCATACTGGCGAAAAACCTTATAAATGTGATGTGTGCTTGAAGTCATTTTCTCAAAGTAACGACCTTACAAACACAAACGCGTGCACACTGGCGAAAAACCTTATAAATGTGCTGTGTGTTTAAAGTCATTTTCTGATAAATCCCACCTTACAACACACGTACGCATGCACACTGGCGAAAAGCCTTATAAATGTGATGTATGCTTGAAGTCATTTTCTCAAAGTAACGACCTTACAAAACACAAACGCGTGCACACTGGCGAAAAACCTTATAAATGTGCTGTGTGTTTAAAGTCATTTTCTGTAAAATCCTCTCTTACACTACACAAACGAGTACACACTGGCGAAAAACTTTATAAATGTGATGTGTGTTTGAAGTCATTTCCTCAAAAAAACTACCTTGAAGTACACAATCGCGTGCACACCGGTGAAAAGCCCTTCAAATGCACCGTGTGCCTAATGTCATTTTCTGTAAAATCCTCTCTTACACTACACAAACGAGTACACACTGGCGAAAAACCTTATAAATGTGATGTGTGTTTGAAGTCTTTTTCTGATCAACACCGCCTTACAAGACACGTACGCATTCACACCGGCGAAAAACCTTATAAATGTGATGTGTGTTTAAAGTCATTTTCTGATAAATCCCACCTTACAACACACGTACGCATGCACACTGGCGAAAAGCCTTATAAATGTGATGTATGCCTAAAGTCATTTTCCAAAAAATTCAGTTTCACACGACACAATTGCTTACGATATCAATAATTTATATTTATTAATTTTTAAATAAAATGTGTGAAGATGGTTACTTACAACTTAATAAAACATATGCTGCTGGTAAAGTTTAATTTTGTTTTCTTTTAATCAAATGATCACCGCATGTTTCTTTCGTTTACCCTATAGGCCTTTAGTGGTTGTTTGGCGTGTTTTGCTTGTATTATTATTAATATTTTTTTTTTTGTAATATGTTTAACGATCGTTTATATTTTCAGAACTATTATTACAAATTTTGTATTATTTATTTAAAATTGGTGTTAATCTTTGTAATTATTATTAACATCATGCAGGCGTCATTAACTTGGTATTATATTAATGTGACAACTTCTCGCTACACAGGCCTATTTAGCATTATATCCCTTACCAATTAAGCAGTTCGTTGTAGGTTAGGTATTTTGATTTAATTTTAATTGAAGTCAAAATAAGTACCATAATATTGACAACTTTTAAGTAATAATTCATTTGTTAGAGAATCGCAATATTTATTTACAACGTTTCTCTATGACTTAATCTAAATTTTATTCGATTTTCGATAGTTTGATAAAAACGATTTAATAAGTTAAATAGATAGGTATTTAGCTTTAAATAGGAATTCTGTACGTCAAGTCGTTATAAATAGTACTGTCTTAAGAACATGCTTCACAAGTTTTGTACTAATTGTACTATTTTCCAATAAGTTATAACTTAAAAATTGTATTATTGTATTTTTATACATCATTAAAGCAATACCTGTTGATTTTACTTTGTTGCGATTTTTGTTGTAAAAGCTTTTACATTTTGTACATTATTAAATAACTGTAACTTGTATCTTATTATTAAGATTTGAAATAATAGTTATCCTAACTCTATAAACACTCAAAGTCCATATAAATAAATCTTCGTCACTATACTATTTTATAGAAATGAGTGCACCTAATATTATACATAAAAATATAACTGACCTGTAAAATATTATCATGTTATGTAAAAAATATTTTCCAAAATGTTTAGATGGTGCTAGTGGGCATTTTAAGTATACCAACGACTTTTTTTTAAGTATCCAACTGCCTTAAACAACACATATCCAATTTTTTTTTTAAATTTAGTAACATATATTAAGCTCATACCTGATTGAACAGCTAAATGTAAAAAAAGATAAAATCCCAAAAATAAATATATTCTATAGCTTTAAGGTAGACTTCATTTGTAAATTATAGCATGAATTAAATAAATATAATAATAAATTATAAACAAAATAAACGGTTTTCTTTAATTTTCCCAAAGTTAGTATTTGAGGAATATAATCCCTTTTTCACTCAGCTATTTATTTAATTGTTATATTATGCTAAAATCTAATCTCTGGTTGTACGGAGATAATATTGTGTTCTTATAATTAAAAATAATGTAAAAAAAAGACATTTCATTTTATACCTTTGTTATTTTTCTTTTGTCCAACTACCAGATGATATACTAAAAATATAAAGATAATTTTAATTTTTAAAACACCTAATTGAGAAAAAAATGTTCGGTTATACATTTGTGAGATAAAAAAAAAAAAAAATTGTCAGAAACTACTTAAAGTAAATTTGATTTTTTTCTCGATTTAATTTGACGATTTTTGAAATTTTTGCTATAAAATTCAGTAAAAGTGCTAAAATTTTAGATTTCCCATTACTTAGAGTCTTCCATTGACCCTCCAAATTTGAAGAAAATTAGAGACATGACTCACAAATCGCGACCGATTTTGCGTGGAACGACCCAATACTAGTGATAGTTGTCATTAAAAACTGTATACACTAATACTAAAGTAAAAGAGTATAATTAAAAAGTAGTCAATTGAAGATACGTACAAGCCAATAGGGAGTATTAAAAAAATGTAATCAAATGAAATTAATGCACTATAATATTTAAAATGTACATTTTTACCGATTCCGCTCTTGAAATGAATCAATAACAAAAAATGTATCATAGTGGCATTTAACTAAGACTTAATGTAACCTAATGAATAATGTTCTTAAATGATTATTGATCAATGATCGCAATAAGACGTTGTCACGTCAACAAAATATTATAGGTGCTTAATAAATATTTAACTGTCCTATAATTATTCAAATAAATAAATAAAGTTACATAAACATGTACAAAGATTTAAGTAAACAAAAAATAAATTAAAAATATCTAATCGCAGACATATAGTTGTATCTCGTCCAAATTGTAGTTTGTTGTTGACTCAAAATAATTTCCATCAACTAAATCAATTTCTTCTTTGACTACAGTTTCTTTGTACGTTTCTTCCATACTAAAAACAAAAAATTTACAAATAAACTCAAAACTTTAATAGAAAATAATGGCTACGATCAATGAATGTTAACATAGAACTGTGTACTAGTTGCTCTCAGTGACTTTTGCAAAATTAGTGTTGCAAAAAATGTACAACAAAACTGGTATGAACAACTACAAGACTAGTATACATTTTTTTTAATATGGGCGTCGCATTACTGTTTGGAAAATTTAGGTTTAGCAGATAATTCAATGCAAATTTTTGTTTTGTTAAACAAAGTTATAGACTCTTCATTTTTTTTGTTTAATATTGTGTTTGTTTATATTCAATTAAAACGAAAACTTATTTGAATGTCCTGTTTGTTATTCCTCAGAGCGTAGTACTCGTGCCAACAGAAAGAAGTACAGTTACCTTAACCCCGCCGGGGAGTCACTATTAGCCATGAAAAGGGTGGGTCCGTAACATTACACCATAATAGCAATATGAAATATTTGAATTTATAAATTGCATTACTTGTATGAAATCCCGTCGAATGTGTTATGAAGATCGTTCTGGACTGTCTCGCAGCTATTATGTGATTTTTCCAAGTAAGTCAGACTTGGTTCGATCTTTAAGGCTTCTGTAATGTGCTCTTTTATATCTTCTTTTTGTTCATCTATTTTGTTTAGGGGACAGCTGTTATAATCATCAGTTCGTCTTTAATTTTCTCTTCAGTAACTCTAAAAAATAAAATATATTATTTGTAATTAAAATTATAAAACTTACAATTACAATATTTCCCAGGGGATGTAATTAAACCGAACAACCAAGTTCAGTTTATTGTTGTTGTTAATTATTTGATACATTTAATAGATGCAAAACATATACATTTTTATTTTTTAACATAATTTTAGCTGCAGAAATCCTAGCTATCAATATCATATTATAATTTGTTTTAAATAAAATGTATTTAAAATCACGTTACTTATAAGAATCCTCAATTATTGTTTTTTTTTATCATTGTGGGTTGTAAAACAACTTTTGTATGATTTTTCAATGTTATACAGTTTTGTTTCTTTCACTAAGGCTTCAGTAAAGCGCTTTATTGTATCCTTATTTTCTTTCTCTATTTTGATGTTGGTACCGCAGTTACAATCATCCACTTTAATTTGAATTCTTAGCTAGTTTCGCACTTCTTTAACTATAGAACACAAAGCATATTTCCAATAATTAGCATAATACCCCATAATTAATATTTTAAATGACTATAGCTGGCGTTTAGGCATATTTAAAGAATCAGTGTGAGTTAGACGTTTTAGTAAAAAAGTATGACGACCAGCAACATTGTTCTATTAGTTTAGCAACTTGCTTAACAATATACGTAATATCAAATTTGTAAACTGTAGGTAAATAACTAATTAATTCATTAAAATAAATGTAAATTATATAATCAATGAAAATGTTTGTCGGTACTTACTATTATTCAGCTGTGTAATAGTCCTAGTCACTAGTACCAGAATAAGAAATTTATTTGTTGTTCGAAGTCGAAATCAATCCAGGAAGATGTATTTTAAATAAGTGAAGACTTTTTAAATAATATAAGTTTGATTTTTATCACACTTGTAAAATATAAAGATTGACAAACTGCCACAGAGTAGTATATTAATTGAGTCTGGTAATTCTTCCAAGGCTATGAACTAAAGACACAGTTGTAAAATTACACACTTAATACCTATTATGTTTTTTAATAATATGTAAGTTCCTATTAACATACAACGACGAATCAACTTTTCGAAAAATTAATATCGATCGCTTCTGGTGAGAATGCAAAACATATTTTACAGAAAACAATCTACTTGATAATGATGTTTATGCGTGTGCGACAATTAATGATAACGGCGAAATGAAGGCAGTCGCTGTTATCATTTGTCTCACACGTTAAAAACCACGGTTAAAAAGAACCGTTCTTTATAACCGTGGTATAAACCACATTATCAAGTACCTAGATTGTCTGTAATTTTTTTTCTAACCTAAAGCGATCCTTAGACTTTATTGTGTTTTGAAATTTGTATAGTTCTGCGATTGCTGCTCAAATATTGCTAAAAAACATAATATTATTATAACTGTGTTTTTACGTCCATGGAAACGGCCTTATAATAGCTCAATTATGGTAAGTACCGACAAACATTTTCATTGATTATTTTTTTGTTTTGGTCTTCAATCTCTCGATTGGTTGGCCGCAGCTCTCCAAGCCTCTCCGTTAAAACTCAGCTCCTTCAAATCTCGATAACTACCTATGTCCATGTCCTTCATAATCTGTGAAATATATTTCATTCGTGGTCTTCCTCTTCCAGTTTTACCATCCACATATCCTTCAATAATCAGCTTCAGCAAACTGTCATGGTGCAGTGTATGCCCTATCATATTATCCTTTCTTTTAGTTATAATTTTCCAAATTTGTCTTTTTTCTTTAATTCGTCCCAAAACTTCTTCATTTGTTACTCAGTCGCTCCATATAATCTTGAGCATCTTCTGGTAACACCAAATTTCATATGCTTCTAATTTTTTCTTCTCAGTTGCGCTTATTGTCCAGGTCTTGCATCCGTATAGTGTTACACTCCATACGTATATTTTCAAAAAGTTTTTCCTTGTGTCTAGCCCCACACTGT